CTTTGGTATCCATGTAAGTAAAATAAGACTAGTAATGCTGCCTGCCTTATGAAAATATGATAATGCATATGAAATATTTAGCACAGTGCCTGCCACGTAGTCATATTCAATAAAATATTAGTTATTATTCATTTTTGGAGACCTTATCTAATGTGCAGTAAATTCCTTTCACTGTAGAGGTCCTTGGCTCTGCATTTACTGCTGCATCGGTTCCCAAGCTGCATTTGAACATGATTATGAAATACATAATAGATAAGAGTTCAGTGAACCTGCAACCAGTCTTCTCATTTCCTTAAGTAGGAACCTCTGTCTGGGAGGAGCACAGGGTACAGCCTCAAGTGGTACCACTATAGAATGGATAATATGACTGGTGTCTTTCTTGTTCGCAACCAGTTACACACTCCTCCCAAGTACCAGGGAGGGCTGAGCCCATGGGAAACCATCCTGGGAACCTGCAGGACCTCTGTGTAGACCTAACGCAGGCATTCAGGCACTGAGCAGAAGTACCTACTACGTGTGTGTATGTAGGGAAAGATGCCCTAAACTGTGACTATGGTCAAAAGGAAATTGGCATTATTAAGCCCCTAAAGACTCAGTGTCTCACTTGGGATAACTGAAGTGTCTATGACATTTCTAAATTAAATTAAATCTAAAAACAATTTTTCACCTGTAATCGATAGGTAATAGCGTTACATGATAAAGCATTGTTTAGCCCTTTTTCTGACTGTATTTATATATTCTGTATATTATGCCTCTTTTTGATTTTCATCAAAAGTAACTGATGTACCACTTTTAAAATGTCTTTATTCACAAATTAGTGTTTTCTTTTCTGTTTGGTTACTGGCAAACTCCACACTAAATTTTCAGTCTTCTAGCAACTGGGGAGGCACTGTTACATTCTTACATAGTAATCTCCTAGGCTTGTTTTCTTCTCCTGTTCTTTTTTGTCCTCCTATCTGCCCAGATTTCCTCACCTTTCAATTTTATAATTGTAACATGTATTTTTATAACACCAAATCCTCTCTGGAACAAGATAGGGAACAGATTTTAAAATGTTATTATAAAAGGACATGCTATTTAGTGATGATCACTGAAGGATTTTCACCAAAAGCAACTAATGTACCAGTTTTTCAACATCTTTATTCACAAATCAGCATAATATTGGTCAGTTTGAATGTTCCACGTTATGATAAACAGGTGATGAAAAGTATCATATTTACAATGAAAACATTTATTTTATATAACTGAATCATCAGATATGCAACCTCCTGCAATAATAACTTAGTGGACCCAACTCTACCCTCTGAATGGAGCAATTTTATGATTCTCCTGGAAAGCTTTGAGTTGGGTATAGTTTCTTGGTGTTTCTTTCCATGATCCAGCGCTTAAGAGAAAATCCCTGGAACCCAGCCACTGGAACCAGATCTCCCCATGATCAGGGAGATACAGGAGTGAAAAAAAGTACGCTTGACATGATGCCCAACAGTCTCAACTACTGTGCCATATGCTTGACTTCAGAGCATTCAGGCACTTAAGGTCACATCGGGAGCCATGTATATATCCTGTCAATCTCAAACGCCCACAACTGCTATACTTAGGGTATTGTGGAGGAGGAAAGAATCAGTCCCACCAATTATATGAACATTTCTAAATTTTCATTACCAAGAATTAATTTCTAAAATACAAGTATAAACAGAAGCTATCCAGCCAGCCATGAACTGAAATATGTGTGCAATATAGTTAAGGAGCTGATGTGCTTACAAAACCACATACTCTCATTTATCTCTAATTTTAAAATAATTCATTCTCTTGCTGGGTATGCAAGTAAGCAATGGAGAGAGTGGTGCATCTGCGATACCTGAAATTAAAAAAAAAAAAAGAAAGAAAATTAAAACACTCACAGGGCAAAGATTTGAGTCAGTTTAAAAATGGCCAAGAAGAGAGGGTGGATCATCCTCCCCCGAACCCCCCCCCATTAAGTTCAGCAGCAGGAAATGCAACAGGGCACAATGGGGTAGCAGAGTGGAGCAATGGGATAGCTCAGAGGGAATCAGTCAGCAGGGAGGGGCTCAGATGGAGGTATGTTGTTAATGTTTCTAGCTTGTAAAATAAGCTGACCACTCACCGGCTGGTGCTAAGGATTTCAATGCTTCCAAAAGATGTGGGCTAGAGAACTTTATTAGGCACCGGAGGGGTTCTTCCCTCTCAGCCAAGATGCCCCCATTTAAGTCACTCTTGAACTTTGTTTCAAGCTGTCAATAAATATATTTATAAATAGCTATTAAATATATCAGTTGGAATGGTAAAATATAATGACATCAGATTATGAATTTCATTAATTCTTATCATCAAGAAATATAGGGATTAATGGGGACAGGGACCATTTAATTTGCTAACTGCAAGCAAAGAGGGAAGCCAGTATCTTAACCGATGTCCAACACAGAATGCCAGTGTGCATAGTGCCTGACACACAGGGGATGCTGGATGTCAGTTCCACCCTCAAGTGCCCTTTACACTTTGCATCCTTAATGGAAAATTAGCACTATCTTTTGTAATCTGTAATATCAATGTAAAAATGTCCCATCTTTTGAGTGACTACCACCATTTCTTTTTAACTTATTATGGAAGATTTCAAACATATACAAAAGTAAGGAGCACAGTTTAAGTCCCATGTGCCCATCACCCAACTGAAATAATTATCAACTTGTGGCCAATTTTCTTTCATCCATTACGCTACATCCCGTTTGCTACTGGCTACCCCCACTGGATAATTTTGAAGCTAATCCAAACCACCATTGCATTATATCGATAAATATTTCAGTATGTATCTTAAAGAAACCTGAAAGGACTCTTTTAAAGAACTGAACCCCAATACCATTACCATACCTAAAAAATTAATAACAATTCCTTAATACCACCAAAAATATCCAAGTACTGCTACATCAATAGGCACCTGGATCTTAGATTCTAAGTTTTAATTTTTTTTAACTTAAAATGATCCTTGGGCAGGCAGGTTAGCTCACTTGGTTAGAGTGCAGCCTTGTAACACCAAGGTCAGGGGTTCAGATCCTAAGTACCAGCCAGCCGCCAAAAAAAGAAAAGAAAATTTAGAAACAGTACATTGAAATATTTGGTGGATGAGTAATCTGCAACTAACTCAAATGGTTCAGAATAAAGAGAGAGAGAGAAAGCAAATGTGGCAAAATGTTAACAATAGGTGAATTGAAGCAAAGGAGAAATGGATGTTCACTGTAATATCTTGCAAGTTTTATGAAGGTTTGATATTTTTCAAAATAGAAAAGGTAGGAAAAAATTATTAGCAGGTATGAATAAATGTGCACCTTGACTTACAGAATAGAGCCATTACAAAATGTGTTTAAAGGGAAATTTTGCACATGAAATCTTCTCTATCCTAGACCAGTGGCTCTCCAGCTCTAGTGTGCAGAATCAGCTACAGGGCTTGTGAAAGCAGATTGCTGGGACTAGTGTGGGGCCAAGAATTTTCATTTCTTACACTTTCAAGTGATACTGATACTGCTAGTTTAGGGACCACACTTTCAGAACCTTTGTTCTAGATTATGAGCTGTTTAAAGGAACTGGGTTAAAACCTACCATTAAGGGAAACCTTGAAAGGTATCAATCAAGTTCTCCCACTAAAAACAAATCAAACCAAACAGGCTTTGAGCCTAATGGAGCATATCAGTGGCAGATTTAAAGTGTGGCCTGTAGCTATAGGAGGCTAAACAGAAAGAATTCTGATGGAGGGGGTAAGAGAATGTTATTAGTATGAGTATGGAGTTAGATTAGAGTGAACATGATATAAACCTCAAGGTCTTCTAATGGTGGCAATGGGCTTGCATTAAACACCTGGAGCCCCTCCCTGCCCCTCCTGGTGCTTGGCAGCACTCTTCTGGAATGAGCTACATTTGCACTACTATCTAGGCTACTTGTTTTTCACCATGTAATACTAACTGGGCTATGTAATAACTTTTTTATTCAACAAGTATTAATGAGCACCTACTATGTGCCAAGTACTATTCTAGGTATGAATGGGCTAGAAAGGTATAACCTACAATTTTTCCCCTCAAATATATAGATCAGCCAGTTATACATAACTGAATTCATATGGAAGATGAAATGAAAAGACAAATTCAAAATTTCTAAGGGTCCCCTTTGCTAACAGGGGAATTTATAAATATAATAAAGAGGTCTATTTAACTCATAAACTTCTTAAGATAAAACAGGAACAGTTTCATAGACTTCTTTACCATTTTTTTTTTTTTTTTGTCTTTTTCCGTGTCCGGCAACGG